ACCCAGAGGAAGCTCTACCAATCAGTGATTAGCAGGGCGGGTACCAGAACCAAACCTGATGGCCTCTCGGCCAATCACCAACTGGCGATGTTGCCTCATATAAACTGTAACCCAACACATTCTGGATGGTTAACACAGACATTAAATCTCTCTCTCTCTAAACTAGCAAACTGGGTTTTTTTCAACCATATGACCGGAAGCAGTCCAAGTCAGGACTTTTTCTCGAAAAAGCCAAGTTTAGAGAGTGAGTCAGAAAAGTGCCAAATTCTAAGATTTTCTTCCAGAAGAGATCTTGCATTCGCAAACCCACTATTTTTCACCTGATCAACAGAATTAGACAGTTGGACTCTTTCTCGTAATTCTACATGATGTCACTTCCTCTTGTTCACATTTATCTTTCTTCTCATTTGCAGTTACTCCTTTTTTCATTTCTCTCTCCATACAGTATGCAGGTCCTGTTTAATCGTCATATGCCCAGGTGGTTGTCCCTCAGGCAAGAAGGTTAAACCAAAGTCTTTTATGCACAGATCTTCAGTAAACGTTCCTAAAGTTAGGAGATGTTATTGCTTGTACCTGTTTTTGTCTTTGCTTTCACGTGGGAGGCTGAGGGCTGATAATAGAACAGACCAGCCAAATCCCCTGCTGTACAGATGCCAGCACATTGATCAAGGAGAAACAGGTGTCTCTGGCATGGTGTTGACAGTTTCTATTGTATTGGTCACTCTAGCAAATCCCCTGCTTCATCACAGTACAAATACAGTACATGTCAGCTATCCAGATCTATTATTATCTGAATGTTGTTGAATATCATGTTTTCTATGGGGTCTACTCATATGATAGCATTTAAAAACACTTCTGTGATATTCAATGGATTTGGCTATAAAATATAACGACAGACATCTGTTTTATAGATTGTAAAGAGAGTCATTAAAAAGGCCACAAATGATCTTAGTTTCAATAGTCATTTGTAGTATTTTTAATGCTTTGAGTACATAAATGTCAAATTACAATGTGAATCACATGCTTTTCTCATTTGATGTTTGTGATACATATATCATATGATATACAGTATGCTTCTGAAACAAAAAATCATCCAAGGATATCCAGCTGTTCATTTTAAAGGTACAATGCGTGTGAAAGCTGTGGGAACAAAAGTCCTCAAGTATGCACAGTAGTTTAATTTTTCCCTTTTCTAAAACATACAGTATTTCATAACGACAAAACACATTAATGAACTGGTGAACCAAAGCATTCCAGTTTTTCTAAAAGGTTTGAAGTTAAGATAAATGGAAAGTGTCATCAACAGTATTTATTGTATAACTTCTGTTCATATTGGAGGAAAAATAAAGTACAATTTTTGTGAAAAATGAAAAGTGAAAAATGTATCATCATTAAAATTATACTTAAACTTTAACTATTCAAGATAACATATATGACTTAATTAAATACATTTTTTTTTCTAATTTTATGTGGTTTATTGAATGCCATTTTTTGGGAAATGTTCGTATAAAGATATCAAGGTGATTACCGTGTTTTGATATTTTCAAACAAATATCTATTTGCACTTTTTTTTTGCTATGCCCACCTAATTTGGAATTGCCTTCTGCCAGAGGTTCAGCTCTGACTGGAGGGAAGCATGCCCATCTCCAAGAACACTGAATGCCTACAAGTGCCTGGAAGGTGATGGGGGTCACCGTTTGCTATGAGCCCAAGACAGCCCTGCCCTGATTAATCCCATCCCTACCCTTAGTACTCTCAGGGAGTGTAATGTAGGAAGTTTAACCCTAAACATAACTTAAGTTTTCACCTATCTAAAGAAACTGTACTTCGTACAATACTGAAATGCATTTCAAGCTGGAATTTCTTGAGCAATTGATTGATTGAAAACCTCTTTGGGTGCAGGTGTCATAGGTAATAATCATACTGTATATAAAGTGGTTTTTAGAAGAATTTCTTTAAATTTTGCTGATACCTGGGATTACTGTTTCAACTGGTTTAAAATCAGCACTTAATCTACAGTACGGTTATAGAAAGTGACTAGTTAGGGTTAGGGTTAGAAAAATCTTAAAGCTTTGACTTCACTCAACATGATTGGTTTCTTCCTCACAGTTTAAAAAAGATTGAGTGTTGTAAGATTCAAGTATAACTTTAAATTTTTATGGTAGCGGAATGTAGGGTTTTGTCATATATTAAATGTTTTTTAGAAGCATTTTTATAACTTTTGCTAACATCATTGTCACTGGTGTTGTGTAGAATTCTCCTGTGGTGGACGATCTGGGCTTTTGGCACCTTGGAGTTACCCACTGTCTAGAGAGTGTTTCTGTACAGTTTGTGTTCAGTGCCTGTGAGCAACCGGAATTGAATCCCAGCAGGAGAATTGAATCCCAGCAGGAGAACTGCATTTGTCATCTGAAGATGTCTGAAAGAATAAAATTTCCCTCTGCCATTACATTGAAGACAAGCTCCAGGTCTACAGTATAATTAGAATCACCCAAGAGGATCAACATTTTTTAAATGAAGGTAAACAATCTATTGTTTAGTATGACCACATTTAAACCCGATAAAGGGGTAATCCAAGAACTGAGGTTTCAATTTGTTTTATCAGTTTGCAATAATTCCTTAACATACAGTACTATTCTTTTTCATTCTTTCTGAGCAAGTGATGTACTGTATAGGGTATTTAGCACAAAATCAGTATACAGTAACAGAATTTGATTCTATTTGAGATTTGGTTTGTAAAAGCTGTACTCTGGGATTTGTTTTATCTTATTAAATTGTCTTATCCTTGTACTCCCTTAAGCAAAATGTTTTTTTTTAATCTCCAGGGCATTATGTTTGAAAGTCTTTTACAGACATGTTTCACTCTACATAACTGAGTGTGGTACATATTTTTAACAGTAGTTTATGAAACCCATAAGAACCTAAAGAACAATAAACAGCATCTCTTCCAAATCATAATGCCGGAAAAGAATTTGGTGCCATTGGTTTCGACTGGCCTTGGACTTTTTTGTTTTTGGATTTCTCTTTGGACTCGTCCCTGGATTGTTTGCCCGCTTACACCTCCCCAGACCACCAACACTCCTTGGACACGCCC